AAGTGCAAAGTCCCAGGCCTCACTTGTAGGTGAATTCACAACCATTTCAGATCATAAACCGTAGATGGATGAAAACATACCTGGTTCAATTCAATTCAATTCAATTTTATTTGTATAGCGCATATTTACACCAACAAGTCATCTCATAGCGCTTAACAAAGACAGAAACACCCAACAATCCAAAACATTTGGATTGTTTTATATATAAAACAAACACCCCCAAAAATAAAACAATAATATAAATAGATACAAAGGAATAAAAAGAGACAGAAACTAAGGTGTATATAGACTATTTACAAGTAGCAGCATCATTGAGGTGATGTAGCAGCATTTAAAGTGCACAGTGCCTGGTGACACATGTAAACTGGATTGTACATTGAAGTTTACATGTGTCACGTGTCATGTGGAGGAGCTGCCTAGTGCTGTCACAGTCTCCTGTTGAGGGCGAGCCAACAGGGCTGATAGCTTAGCCACATAAGTATCATCGTGTTTACAACATACAGTCGTGACTCGATAATCCGACACTAAATGGAAAATCTTCTTTTATGTCGGATAGCAAGGCTGTCGGATTGTTAAGACAAAGGTCGAGATACAAGGAGGGCTTGATGCTTGAAGGCTCATTTGTTGTTAATTATTGTTCGTAGTTGTTATAATAACTAGTAGGGCTGGTCCCAATAGCACTTTCTGGTCTCTGGATATTCAGGCCCAATTAATGATGAATATCCGAATATTCTGCGCGGTTTGGGGGGATACTTCCACCTGGGGTGCACTCTGATGGGGTGGAAGTGGCCGGAAAGCACAGGCAGTACTTGGCTGCTGATGTTAGTTTAGCTTGCGGTCACAGTTCTGTTTCCACCATCGGGGGCCACCATCCGTGTTTACTTCGGTAAACACTGAGCACGCTCGCTGCGTGTGACGTCGTCGTGTCCTCTTCTGCTCATGCGGGACACTTTTGTGTCGTATGAAGTTCACACAGCAGATCACATACAAGTCGCATTTAATTGGAAATGTGAACGAACTCACAAAGAAATCGGATTTCACAAAAAAATCCGTATTGAGCATTAAGTCCTGCAGTCTGAACGTTATGTTATGTCAGATATTACGCCATTATTCTGATTTGTGTCACAAAATGTCATGTTGGAGTCGGAATCCAAGGCTGTCGGTACGTTAAGGCTATTTAATGGGTTCTGTTCATTTTTCTTAAAAATCTGTTGGATAGCAAGGGTTAGGTTTTTCAAATCTGTCTCGATAACTTCCCCTGCCGTGCCCGACGGCAAAGCAGTTTGGGGTAGGGTTCACCTTGTTGTAGGTTAGTGTCATCGTGTAAACCACTTGGGTGTTAGATTTCTGACGTGTTTTTTTGGTTAGGGTTAGGTTTTGGAATTGGTGAAGGGAAGACTTGTAAGGCAAGAGGCCATTGTTCCCCTGGTTGCATTCCCTGGTCTCGGCTGGAGTACAAAAGTACAAGAGAGGATGTCCTGGCGAGAGGCCGTCGCCGTCTTGGTAACATTCTCTGGTCCGAGGGTTAGGGGTTTTGGAATAGAGTTGGGTTGTATGGACGTTTGTCTCAAAAAGCTGGGCTTTTACCTTCAGAGTTGGTCTGGTTTTGGTCTTTGTTTTCCACAGTAGTTTGATTAATCAATTGTTATTATGTTGTCCTGGCTGGTGTCATATTGCTCTGCCCGAACGGGTTTTAGTTTCTGTTTTTTTCAGTTGGTCATGGTCACCTTTCTGGGTACATAGTCACCTTTCTGGGTCCACGTTTTGGATTTTGCCATGTTTTTTTCGTGGTTGATTAGTTACCTTTTCTGGTTTTGTAATCCTGGTTTGTGTTATTGTTCTGCCTGAACGGGTTTTAGTTTCTGTTTCCTTCAGTTGGTTTTGGTTTGTGTTTTTGGATAAAGTCGTGGTTCCTTTGTGGGTATATGTTTTGGGTTTTGTCTTCTTTATTTCGTGGTTGATGAGTTACCTTTTCTGGTTTTGTAATCCTGGTCTGTGTCACTGTTCTGCCCGAACGGGCTTTAGTTTCTGGTTTTTTCAGTTGGTTTTGGTTTGTGTTCTTGGATAAAGTCTTTTTTCTGGTTTTGTAATCCTGGTCTGTGTCCTGTTGTTGGTTTGAGGGGATTTGGGTTTCTGTATTTCTCTTTTTGTTTGGGTTTTGTGTTTGTTGTAGTTTTGCATGGTTGACAGAAGGTCAGAAAAACGTTTTGGGGGTGTTTTTGTTTGTTCCTCGTAGTAGTCTTAGAAAGTTTTGAGAATTTTTGATTTTTTTAAAAATTTAATTAATAATTCTATAATTTTAGGACACATCATCAGTAGTGGACCCCAGGTTCATCGAGTGTTAGGGTTAGGGCTAGGTTTTTCAAATCTGTCTCGATAACTTCCCCTGCCGTGCCTGACGACAAAGCAGTTTAGGTTAGGGTTTGGGTTTGTTAAGGGTCAGATTCACGACTGTACATTCTAAATTAAAACAGGTATCATTTCCATTCTGTAAACTTGATTTCTTTTAAAGCATTTTTGGGGGCATTTGTATGCCTTTGTTTTATGGTGGCAGTAGAGGGAGAGAGGTCAAAGAGCAGAAGACTGGTGGCACATACAGAGTCGGGGGAAGGTCAGAGCACAGAGCTGTAGAACCGCTGAGCATCACAACACAAACCTGTGTGCATAATTTGTTATGTTATTTTCTGCGTTTACACAAAAGAAAGTTCTAGTTAAATTGATAATGATGTGTCATCAGTTGGGGCCTAACCCATATCACACTGTACTAGAGGCTGGGTACACTATTCACCGTTCAGTACATAAAGATGGACAAATGGCCATGGCACCGCTCACAGGTTCACTGAAGAGAAGCTTAGAAGCTCAGTGTGGCGTCTCCAGCCGTTGCCATTGTGGCGTTGCCGACTTTTCTGATTTTTAACGCTAATTGCGGTGATCTGTGCTAACTACAAAAAAAGACATACAGATGCTGGCATGCACCCTTCCCTTTCATCTCCTGATTTAACTGTATAGAAAGTAGTCCTATTGTAATTTAATCTATTGTTACCTGCCAAGTTAAACATGAAGTAACTCAGTTGGATGAAACAGCAAGGGTGGCAGCACTGGGTGTCAGCATTAAAGCTTTGACTTTACTTTGTCCTTGTTATGTAGTCGTGTATTTTGCATTGGTCTAAATTCAGGGTTTTCATATGTTTTACATACTGAGGAAGCAACACCTGCCAGGTAAATGTGACAAACACTCAGCTATAAGATTGATGACACCCACATCTACAGCCAACTAAACCACTGCCATGTGACTGCAACAGATAAATACTGACACCGAGTCAAACCCTGGACGCTGCGAAGCAACAACTGCAGAGTGTGAACAGAGAAAACATGAACAAAGCTGAAATTTAAAGAAGAATCCTCAGGAGCAAATATTATACTTGGACAGATCAAACTTCAGGTAAGTCTCTTCTACGCACACTGCAATCAGGAGCAACCTTTAGATGTCTTTTGTAAACCAGCTTTTTTATTTATTTTTTTTTCATAAAAACTGGCATTTAAAAAATAAAACATAATTTGTCTTGTATTCTTGTTTGTGTGGAACTATTTAAATTCCACATTGGCAGTTCAGAGTTTAATGAAACTATTTCATGACCTAGTTGTTTAATTTTAACTACTCAGTGACGTCTTTGACAATAATTGTGGAAGGCACAAAACCGACAGTTTTAATGACAAATGCCAGTTTCTATTTGTTGTTGTTTTTTTTAAGTTATTTATGTGTTTTGTTTCCGAGTCATATTACACACACCGATGAAACACTTATGTACACACAAAAATCATAACTGTTGGCACCTTATAAAGTTATATTATCCATTTCTTAGAGTAAAAAGAAAAAAAAATCCTGTTTTCTTCTTCTATTTTTATGACCCTTTTTTACAGTCATGGAAAGCATCACACATCTAATCCTACTCGCAGGTCAGTGTTCCTCCAGGTATATCTGAAAACTTCTGTCAGTTTGTTGTCTGTCTGCTTGTCTGAAGAACTACGACCAATGAAACTTTTGTCACCTTTTTTTCCACAGGGCTGTGTTCGCTATCTTTGTGTGTCTCTGCGCATTACTACGAAATGTTCAATTCTCCAAAAACCTGGCACGAGGCTCAGAGCTTCTGCAGAGAGAAATGTTTGGACCTGACCACCATCAACAACATGACAGAGATGGATGCAGTTCTTAAAGCTGTCGAGGGCAAGTTCGATGACACTTTGTGGTTCGGGATTTGGCAAGGGCCGAGACGCCAGATACACTGGTCTATTCCAGACAGAAATTTGGATGACTCGAGCCCAAGCTTCTCTCCGAGTTGGGACATGGCTTCTCACGGCGGCTGTGTTTATTACGGCGGTGAGATGTTCCAGACATCTTCCTGTGACCGAATCCTTGAGTTTGTTTGCTTTGATGGTGAGAGACTTGCACATGACTGACTCATTTGTTCAAATTTTCAATTTATGGTCATATGTAACACAATTTTATTATTAAACCAACTTTTACACCCCATTAGCCAATTTGTAGCAAAAATAATAGTCACTCTTTTTAGCACTTTTCTTTTTTTTTTTTTAAATAACAGCTTTGCTTCGCAGAGAAAAGAAACACAAAAAGAAAAAAGTTCAATGTATGATGGAACATGAAAATATCTCAACCAGCTGCAAAGGGGAAAGAGTCCCTAGGGCCATGGCAGTCCAGATGAGAAAAGATAAAAACATGAATCACGTTCTCCAGGCCAGCAGAGTATTTTTTATTTTATTTTTTTAATTAGTTTGAGGATATTTTTAAGTGAAGAACTCAGGACTTTCCAATTGTCTTGTTCTGAGTGATACAACAACTTCAGATTTACTGTCCTTGAGCAGGAGGACATTGTTGGACATCCAACACTTCAACTCACTGAGGCAGCTTCGTTATGGAGAGGTCATTACGGAAAAAAAGGAAAAAGCTGGATTGATATAATTGCAACTACTTGTCAGATTTAAGCAAGCTGTTAATTAATACAGTGAACAACAGACGAGAGCAACTGCTTCAGCACTATTTAAATACCACAAATTGAAATATCTCCTTTAAACTTGGCCTGTACCATGAACCCAGGCTATTTTCAGGGCACTTTAGTATTGTAATACTTACATTATTGTTATTATTATTGAAATATATATTAGCCTTGAAATCAAGGACTGAAAAAACACAACTATTTTTTTTTTTTTTTCTGTTTAGAAACGAAACATGGTGCCGACCAGTACATTCTCAGTGGAACTATGAATTGGACTGATGCTCAGGAATACTGCAGAACCACCTACACAGACCTGACCAGCATACGGTATCAAGCAGACTTTGACATCATTTCTGCAAAAATCGGTGACAGGCTGATATGGGTTGGCGCCTTCGCTGACTCATGGAAGTGGTCAGAGGGGCGCGACTCCTCATTCAGACACTGGCCACCAAGCAAGAAGTTTTGGGAGTTGAATGAAGAATGCGGTGTCTTGACGAAGAACAATGATAGATGGGGAAGCCTGCCTTGTTCAGAAAAACGCCCGTTCCTCTGCACCTGCAAGGACCCAGGTGCTGCATCATTTAAATCACTGTACTTTTACATTTGGGGTGATAAACACGTCAACAAGTGAGCTTAAGTCTTTGTTCATGTGTTTGTTTCCCCTCATGGCAGCAAGCAACCTGAGGGTCATTAAAGTGAGGATCAACCTCCAGGACACATCGTTGGATCCAAATGACCCTTCAGTACAAGACAAAATCTTGGAGCAAGTAAGTCTTGCTTGTATTTGTATTAAGTCTGCTGTTCAGAGAATAGAGACACTGATCTACGGAACCTATGTAAAATAATGCTTTCCTGATTTAAATTGAGGTGGTCAACTGTTGCCTCTTTTTGTAGGAGTACTAAATAATGCAGAGAAGAGCAAGAAGGCAGAATAGCTGTTGCGCAGCCTGATATGCAAAATCCAGAGGAAAGAAAATGTGAAGCAGTCCTTTCGCTGCAGCACTTGTTTCTACTCTATAAGGTTATAGTCAGAGGAGCCTGTCTGGAGGCTTTTGAACTGATGCTTTGGTTGCATCAGAAGCTTTCTAGAGATTCTGAAGTCCCAATTAAATCTGCAGTTGGCAGAAATCTGGAAAATGCACCAAAAAAAAAGAGAGTCTCCATCATAGGATAAAGTGAAAACTGAGCCAAGAGGAGATGGAAGAGCCTGGTTTTCACTCACAGCGTCTGAATCACTTAATGATTCTTAAAGGTTTTGACGCTATTTTTTGCCTAATGATGGAAAATTTTTTTTTAAAAAGGTGTCTTTAAAGTTTCCACGCTATTACACATGACGGGGCTCAAACTGTGCTGTCTTGCATTTGTTTTGTTCAGACATTTTGGTGTAAAATGTGTCTGTTTCCCAGATGATGCAGAAGCTGAACAAGTCCGGAGTCGGTGATGTGAAGCTGCAGTGGAAGAAGCAGCCCGACGGGAAGGTTTTCATCTCAGCGGCTCCCTGAATGCAGCTGAGTGCTTTCATTCTGCTAACTTGTGTTTCCACGACCCAGGACGTGTTCTCAGGAGAGAGAAGGTCTCTGGAGGCGAGGAGAAACATTAGCACAATGAAAATCTGCCTGTGATTGTGTTTTGATGCTTAAAGAAAAAAAAAATTAGCAGCCATTTCCATTACACTATATTAAACATAAATAAATCAAAGTAGAAACCTGTATCAGTACGCAGCCAGTAAACATATAACGTGTGCAAAGTAAGTATGTAAGTGTGTCTTAGCAATGTTTCAAAAATATATATATGCAACGTAACTAAGGTTGAAGAATTGCAGATGTGCTCATTTTTACCTCCAGTAGAAACAGAGCGCTCACAACTGCTTGTGGTTTGTGGCTTATTCATTTATTCACCATCTTTAGAGGGTTGATAAGCTGTAATCAATAGTTTTACTAACGATAAATAGATTACTTTCTGTAGCACACTTAAAAGTCTGGAAAAGGTTTAGCTTTTGGGTTGCCAGGTTGAGGGGAATATCCCACCTTCAGCACTTGATTTTAGTTGTACATGTTACAGTGATAGAGATGTATAATAAAGGCTAGATGTCTTAAGGCGGCGTTTCGAACAGGATCACCCTTCGGCCATCTTGATTCGAGGCAGCTCTCTGGCGGAACCTGTGGTACGTGAAGGAAGCTGAGTGATCTGCACAAACGTAAATACTCTTATCTCGCTGAAATCTTGACGGATTTACAAACGGTTTGGTTTCTTACAAACGTTAATAACGTGGCGACAATTCAAATTACAAAAATACAAATAAAATACAAAATAATGAAAATACATATTGTTGCTGGCTGTGAGAGTGTAACATAATTATCCATCGGTGCAGTGTTATAACTACACCTCTGACGTTTATAACAAACCAAACTGTTTGAAAATCGGTGGAAAACTGAGACTAGAAAAAGTTATGGTTATTTAAAAAGTACATGCAAAACTACAACAGAATGTTATGGGTGAGCGAGCTGACCGTATCAAGATGGCCGCCAGTGTGGCCGTGCGATTCCATTGGCCGACAGAGCGGACTAGACATCTAGCCTTTATTATATATATATCTATGGTTACAATGACAATAAAGATATATTCTATAACATGTTGCTTGTTATTCTTAATGCTTCAAATATTCTACTAGTTTGCCTGTTTCCATTTCTTGTATTTATTTGCTTCCGTCTTTTGTTTGTTTCTGTCTTTGTAAATGAGGCCAATGTCAGAGTAACTCCAAGTTTAATTAAAGGTTGATTGTTGTTTTAGCATTTAAGTTCATTAGGGATGTTTTTACAGGACTAATGTGTAACAGTGGATTCCAGTTCTGGTTAAAGTGATGGAAAAGTGAGGAAATTTAGTTCATTCACACATTTGGAAAACATATGCAGAATATATTCATTATTTTCCAGAAAAGAAGAAAGAAAGAAAAACAAACAGTCAAGAGCAGAAATGTTTGATTGATTCACTGATTAGTTCTTGATTTTTGAATGCACTGAGAAATCACAAATACATAAGTACAGCAAGATCCAGGATGTAATTCCATTGGTGATAAGTGTGTCCTGCAATAAAAGCATCTAAAATATCAGACACTGACAACACACAACAAAAATGCAAAAGCAGTAAAGGTTGCATGTCTGTGGCATCTAGAAAAAATGGCTCCATGAGGTCGTGTGAACAGATTCTTCTGACATCAACTATTGTTCTGTATGCCATCACGTAGAAATGTTAGGAATAGTTATACAGTTTACCATTTAACAATATAAAATTGATGCGCTTAGAAATATGAGCTGTCTCAACA